ATTTGTATTAAATGTACACAGTGATGTGTTTCCCTTTAAAATCATCACTCCACCTTTAGAAAAATCCTCACCTTTGCTGAGAGGAAATGTCATGTAGCACTAGAGAAACATGAGCTCTCAACTGACCATTTTGGACTTTTTATAAATAGGCTCCTTGGATAATACCAATATATACACAATTCTGTACAAATATTTAGCACACAGAGGCCACTAGACGATGAAAGAAGAATGTAAGATATCGTCAGAGAATGAGTCACTACGATGACCCAGAGAGTGGCTCAAACCTCAGGAAATTACTAAATGTCTCAAAAATGTCTGAGCCTTCGAGTTTCAAAGTGTACCTGTCAATTGCAGTGCATAGGGCCAAATTATGAGCCTGAAACGTATATAATTTGGCTGCAAAGCAAACTATCAACTGTTTTAGGCTGGTTTAAAGTGCAACTGCAGCCAAAACCTTTTCTTTAGTCTGGAGAGGGTTTAGAACATCTGTCAGGTTTTTATTGCTTTCTTTGTCCCCATTAGGGAGTTTCACCCTCTCTATTTGTCCTGACGCCACTGGTCGGATCATCCGTTCATCCGACACTCCCGGCCAAAAAAAATAAATCTTGCACCAGGTCCCTTTGTTCCTTAGCTCCGCCACTGACTGTAATCACTGAAAGTGAAAGGAAATCCCCAAATTTGTGTTGTCATCAAAACAGGAAAAGATGGAAATTCTCCCAATGGAATCACTAAGTCCGCTGACCACCAGCAATTTCCCTTCTTTTGTAGTGATTTCCTCTCACTTCCTGTTGTGGCTTTCAGACAGGAAGTAAAGGAAATACTCCTCCTTGTGTCAATGGGACACAAATGGCAAACCTCCCTTACTCTATCCAAAACTAAAAGAGAAGTTTGGGCTTCAGTTCTACTTTAATGGTTTGTTCACACCATAACAGTTTGTTCCCGGATCAAAAAAAGCATGCCAATGTATCCCTATGGTATTTCTGGGCTCTGTTTACACCAGCGCAGTCCGTTCCAATCCAGACAAATAAAATGCTGCTTGTCTCATTTTCTCTAGTCTGGAACACCCTGGAACACATGCAAACGCATGCAAATGCACTGGAACGCATTGGACTGCACCTAAAAGCCAACTTTAAGCTTAAATGCATGTCAAAAATGCACTGCATTGAATTTGCAGATCTGTTCCAGATCTAGTCCGGACATGGTATGAACATAGCCTAAACATCCAGTTGAAATTAATGTGAGTTTCTTAGCCCAGCCCCACCCTGCATCCTACAATACTATGCCCCGTGCTAACCTGGGAGAGCGCTAAGAACTGACATGTTGGGGTAAAGGGGGGAAGGATTTGCCCATGATCTAACTTCTAGAAAGTCACAGTTATGTAACAATGCAACTATTGGTGTCTTATCCTAGCAAGAAAATTTGCATCTTATTTGTTTATTCTCCCCAAAGTCAACTAATCAATATCTAAACACAAACCAAACTGGCTGCAAGCCATCTAAACCTAGAGTAGCTCACCATTGCCCACTGCAAGGTTATCGTCTCTCTATAAACTTCTTTGTTTTCTGCAGCCTTTTACTTCTCTTTCGTTTTATTCACTGGACCAAGGCCAGCAGGATAAGAGCCAGTGATAGGCAGGTTGTGGAGGGCTGTGTACGTAGTGCAATGCAGCAACATCTCTCGCTGTAATGTTACCACTGTCGGCAATTGTGTAAAAGTGGTTTGTATTATTTTTACTTCACAATCTATTTAAAGCTAAACTTTATGCAGAGACATTTAGGCATCTTTGGAAAAGTAATTTATAATACCTTAATATAATATATTTATAATACCATAATATGGCCTCTGTGCCCCTTCTTTCCTGTTTGTAAGACCAGTGGCCGCTTTGCCTGCTGTTTTCCAGTCCTCTAGTCTTATAACAACCCCATTTAAGTTGATGGTTTACCAGCAGCAATGTCATTACTGTAACCACTATCACAGCTGAATTTGAAGGACAGGCCAAGAGACTCCTGGTCAGTCCTGCCCGTCATTAGGAATCACCATGATTGACAGCCCAGGAGACTCATGGTCTGTTACTCCCATTTACACCTGCATGCCCTCCCACCCAAACAAACCCAGTTACAATCCCGCCCACATTTACACCCATTGACAGCGCTTCGGGGGATGTAGGGTCCCGGGGCGGCGAGGGGAGGTCAGAGCCCGCCCTCCCTCTCTCTCTCGTCCCCAGCCCGGGTCCCTGCGAGCACCCCAGCCGTGCCTCGTTCCCCCCGACAGGCGGGGGCGGGCGACAGACGGAGGAGCGACCCTCAGACACAGCCTAGGAGACTCATGGTCCATTACTCCCATTTACACCTGCATGCCCTCCCACCCAAACAAACCCAGTTACAATCCCGCCCACATTTACACCCATTCACAGCTACAATTCTCATTGTTTATCCTGCACTGAGAGGAAGTAATGTCTAGTACTGAGAGGGAGTGATGTCCTCCAATGAAAGGAAGTAATGTCCGGTACTGAGAGGGAGTGATGTCCTCCACTGAGAGGAAATAATGTCTGGTACTGAGAGGCAGTGCTGTCCGGTGATCGATCAAAAGTACGAACTTATCGAGTTGTGGGACCGCATGACTTCCGGTTTCCTCAGAACTACGAGGTTTGCACACAAAACATGTTGTGCACGAGCGCCATCCACGGCATTGCCCTGTACACATAAACCACAGCAATAAAGTAATAAAATGATCTAGGATGACAGTAAGCCAGCACGTTCTGTATCTCAGGTGCCCCACTCAAGCGGCGGCCATATTGAGTGGTGCACCTGAGATAAAGAACGTGCTGGCTTACTGTCATCCTACATCATTTTATTACTTTATTGCTGTGGTTTATGTGTATAGGGCAATGCCGTGGATGGCGCTCGTGCACAACATGTTTTGTGTACAAACATCGTAGTTCTGAGGAAACCAGAAGTCATGCGGTCCCACAACTCGATAAGTTCGCACTTTCGATACATCACCGGCACTGAGAGGAAATGATGTCAAGCACTTCCTTGACACCTCCTCCGTGTACCCAGGCATAGTTGTGGGTTCTGTGTGCTACAGATGATGTCACAGAGCCAAGAGAGGTAATTTACTGAACAACTAGCAAGCTTTACCAAAAGTGGCAACTCATGTTGGTAATGTGCTTAGGGATAGTAAGTAATGGGCCAGATTTAGACATTTTCTGGAGTTCAGCTTTAAAGGTCAGCTGACAACTTTTGTTTAAATGATATCGGCACTTTGTCAGTTCTTGAACCCTAACCTTTCTTATCTCTGTCTATGGATGCTATGAAAAGATGAATTGATCCAAAGATTGGGGAGAGTGGAAGACATCTGAATATAAAACTTTCCCTTCTAGATGATAAAATACATTGGGGGGGATTTATCAAAATGGGAGCAAACAGAATCTGGAGCAGTTCCCCATGGCAACCAATCAGCATCTCTCTTCAGTTTGCTCAGGTAAGATTTGAAAATGAAAGAGAGAAGCTGGTTGGCTGCAGTGCAAATCTGCTCCAGATTTTGTCTGCTCCAGTTTTGATAATTCCCCCTATTGTATGGAAGTGAAAGGAAGTGGCAGGATCTACCTTTGATAGCGATATGATTAGTCCCAGTTTTTGTAATAAGGGAAACGCAGTGACCCAATCACATAAGAAGGAAATTAGTTTCTAGTAGTGTTTTCTATATAAAGAGTGCACAGGACCCCTCCCAGTTTTGCTGTGGTTATAATGTGTACATGTTTAGCAGTTGCAGAAAAAAACATCCTGCCTGTAGTATGAACCAGGACATTTTTAATAATACTAAATTACAAAACTTGTGTAGCATTGACATATGATTTACATACTAGTCTGGTGAAAGTCGAGTCTCCCTTTTTAAAATGCACCAGTGCCAGACTACGGACAATAAGGCTAGGCTCACACCTAGGCCATTTACCGCGCGGATTTAGCCGCGCGATATCGCACAAAACAGAGATTTGCATTCAAGTCTATGGAAGCTGTTTACACCTTTGTGATTTGTCGCGCAGTAGAAATCACCTGTCACGCAGAAAGGTGCAGGAGCTATTTTCGGGCAGTTGTCACGCAGTTTGGGTCCCATAGACATCTCTATTCATTGAAAACTGTGCCGTTTTCAAAGCAAAGTCGCACAAACAAAAATGTGCGACAACTGCGCGAAAACAGCTCACCAGCTCAACCGCCTAGGTGTGAACCTAGCCTCAATTATTCAGATATTCCTAACAAGCAGTAAAAGAGTTTTTTAAATGTTTAATTCATCTTTTCAGAGAAAAACATCCCTCCCCGCCCCGGTCCCCGCTGCACTTATCTGCAAATATAACCCTTGCCCACATCCCTAGAGGCTGACCATCCTGGGAGAAAGAAGCCTTCTCATGTCATGTCACTGTTAAGTTGTGATATGAACTTCGAAAATGTCTTCACAATGCATATAGACACAGGGATGAATGAGGGCTTGTTTTAAATTGGTTTTACTGCTTGATCAGAATATGTAAATACTTTAGTGTGCATGATCTGGGCACACGTCCACTTAACGTAACTGTGCCTAGATCATGCACACTAAAGTATTTACATATTCTGCTCAAGCAGTAACATCAAGGGGGAAGAGGTCTGTATATCTAGAACACATTTAATGTAATCAAACGGACTAACTCATTTTTCTGTCAAAGTTGAATTTCACCACTTGTGGCAAAATCATTGAACACACTTGTGAGTTGTGGCAACACGCACCACTACATTGAATTAATTCATTTTGAACGGACCCCAATAACATGTACATAGCACAAAGCACAACACACCCACAGCATGACGCAGCGCATATGCCTTACATTGTGGTGTGCTGCATTTGCTAAGAAAGAGTCATGGGCATCACAGTGGTATAGTGGTTAGCGCTTCTGCCTTGTAGCACTGAGGGTCCTCGGTTCTAATCCCAGCTAGGTCACTATCTACACGGAGTTTGTATGTTCTCCCTCTGCTTGCGTGGGTTTCCTCCCACACTCCAAAGACATGCTGAAAGGTTAATTGGGTCTTGTCTAAACTGGCACTGTATGTATGAACTTGCAATGGGGGCCTTAGATTGTAAGCTTCTTGAGGGCAGGGACTGATGTGAATGTGCACTATGTAAAGCGCTGCAAAAATTGCTGGCACTATATAAATAATAATAATGGGAATTTTTTAATTTATTGTTGTGCATTGGCAGCCCATTCATAATTTATTAGCTGCCCTAATGCAATGCATGTTAACGTGTGCCATAACGAATGTTAAGGTGTGTGCATTAACGTACCACATTGGAACACTTAACTGTGAATTGTTTTTAGATACAATAAATCAGAAAATGGTCAAAACCAGAGGTGACCATATGATCTTTTTTTATTGCCTTTGCCATAGCAGTTCTTTAATTCATTTATGAGACTCCACAAATAAAAGATGTCATAAAACCAACATACAATTCACTATTTTAACTTTCTTTTCTAGATATGAAGAATAAGCAACAGCAATTGAACCTTCACCTCAAAATCCAATTCATCAGCTAAATCTTGGATTTTTCCACAGCGGGTACTCATAGAAAGGTATGTCCAAAAAAATGTGGGCAAAATGCAATTGAAATCAATGGCGAAGGTGAAAATGGTTTTGGTGGTTTTTAAGGGGGCAGTTGGCTCCTGGGGGTTAAAGTGACATTAAACCCTCAGATTTTTTAACATAAAACAGTACTGTAATGTGCGCCTTACTGTAATCCATGGTTGTTTCCCTTCTCTTTGCTGCTCTTCCTTTTAAATCTGTATCTGTTCTCATGCTCTGCAGAACTTCTGTTTTGCAGCAGACTGCCTTGTCTCAGGAATGGATACACGGTGTCTGTGTATCCGTTTGTATAGGCCTGTAACCTGAGCCAGCACTACAGGAAAAGACACTGAGCTAAAAAGGGAAGTTCTCCCCAAGCATGAGAAGACATGAGGATTTAAAAGGAAGAGCAGCAAAGAGAAAGGAAACAACCATGGATTACAGTAAGGCACACATTACAGTATTGGTTTATGTTAAAAAATCTGAGGGTTTAATGTCACTTTAAGGCTCATTCATGGCATACCATGCTGGCTGTAGTGCCTTTTAATTTTAAATGTCACCCTAACTCACCTTAGCTAATGTTAACAAAGTGCGTTGCAGGGTGCTGTGCTGCAGGAATATGCAGCAGGACCTATTTTTTCATGCAATGAAGGGTGATGACAGACTATTCATTGAGAATGGACTGTCTAATGCAGCGTGTATCAACACACAGCAATGTACACTGTACCACAAAATATGCCCCTCATTAGGTCCATTTTTAAAAAAAAAAATTCGAAAAAAAGAGAAAACTGGACAGTGAAAAAAAATGTAATCGTACACTGATCAAATACACAAAAAAAAGGAAAAACCACAAACACAAAGAATGTTAAATGAAATAAACTAACTGCCCCAAATGCACTAAACTACCCCCTAAAAAAATAACCTCTAAACCAGCGGTCCCAAAGTACCAGCCCGCGGGCCGCAAGTGCCGAGTTGGTACTATGTGGCCCGCAGCCAGGTGACAAGTAGGGTACGCGGTCACGGACCGCATACCTGACTTGCGGGAGCAGCTACACGGTCTGCATCTCTATCAGATGCAGACCGCAGACTGTTCCTCCCGGTACTGAGATCCTTACGGCTGGAGCTCAGTTCTGAGCTCCAGCCGAAAGAAAGGATGGATTAGTGAGGTCTGCAGCAGACCTCACTAATCACCACTAGAGCACCAGGGATTGATGTGCCTCCTCACAGCCTCCTCCTTGCAAAAAGGTAAGCAGGAGAGGGGACTGTGTATTGTATTTTATTTTATATGTGGATGTGCGGTGGGGGTTTTATTATTTTATTTTATAGTTTTTTTTATGTGTATGGGGGTAGTGTATTAGGCTACAGTGACACCTGTATCTTTAGGTGCAATTAGGAATTCCTGCATCAGGAACTTGTGTTTTTCTGCAGCAGGAATGCCTAATCTGGTGTTTACAAGTGACATCTATCACCTATTCAAGTTAATAATCAGATGACAGCAGCTGCATATAAACGCCTGCACACCGCATGTTGAGATATTTGATATGATTACATTTGGTTAGGAATCAGTCACTCTCCCTGGACGCATTGATTGTGCATCCAGGGAGAGTGTGTTCTAACTGCATGTATTCATATCACATACAATTACATGTGGTGTGCAGGCGTTTACATGCAGCGGCTGTCACCTGATCATTACCTTGAAAAGGTGACAGACGCCGCTTGCAAACACCAGATTAGGGATTCGTGCTGCAGAAAAACGCAAGTTCCTGACGCAGGAGTCCCTAATTGCACCTAAACTTACAGATATGAATAGGGACTTATTGCGTGTCTATTGGGGTCTGTAGTACCATACTGGATATAATTACATTTTATTTTGATGTACGAAATTTGGCAAGCCGGGCCCCATGGGAGAAAAAAAATTGTTGAGTGGCCCCCGAGTCAAATGAGTTTGAGACCCCTGCTCTAAACAATGACAAAACTATAATACTATTTTTTTCAGGCATATTTCAACCAAGCAACTTGGCAAATTGTATTGCAAAATCAATTGTGCAGAAATCGCTCTGCTCATCTTTAGTGTGGTGTAGCGGGCAATTGATTCCGAGATGGAACACTTTCAATTATTGTTTACCTTTTGCAATTCATATCAGTCTTTGAAAGTGACCAGGTTAATGCAGGATATTTTACCATCTATGATCTATCAAATGAATGTGTTAGACATCTGATAACTTCAAATATTCAGACAAAACAGTAGTGGCAATCCGCGGTGGGGGAACGTGATCCACACCCGGTAATAACACTTGAAAGCTTTATTGGTGTGGCCACCGGCATCATGCAGAGCAGCAACAGCATTCCAGGTGCTGGAATATTTTCTGCATATCAGAGCAATTTGTACAGTAAAGTTTCCTGTAGGTTTCTTGAAAGACTCAAGGTGCCCATACACCTTGCGATCATCAGACAACACTTTTCGTCCGATCGAACCGTCGTATGATTTTCGTACAGCGGCCCCAATCCTGCCCAGATAATCGCATAGTTGGATCAGCGGTAATTAGAAGAAAGCACCTGGATGAATTGCAGTAATCGACCGCACGTATTTTCATCTGCGCAGGTGCAGTGTAGATCATACAAATTTTTGACGTACGGAAACGCCACCAACCTTGCGAAAATCGTACGATCCACTGAAGTTTTCTAACCTGCTGGTTAGTCAAGTCGATTGATGTACAGTATTTGCGGTTGTGCACTGCCCATCAACCGTACAAATATCGGACGGAAATGCAATCGCATACGAAAGTCGGCCAATATTCGTGAGGTGTATTAGGTAAAGTACTACCCTTTTAGGTAAAGCTACACAGTTATACGAACCGAAAAGTGAACATTCTGATTCTTACAAATCTTCCTGAATAGATCTCTTTAAAGACAAAAGGATGCACACTGCACAGTACACATCAAGGTGGGCTGTTTTATTCAGTTCTGAAAGTATTTATGCAACCACCATAATACCTCCCCAGCCTGTCTCTGCTTTGAGGCTCTTGCTGTCCTTTTCAGGAACGAAAATAGGAAGTGATGGTGTCACACAATGGAAGTTGAAGCTGTTAGAGGATAATGTTGACTTCTGTTTCTCTTATTACTAGATAAAGCTTGTCAGTTGCGATATTAGCTCCTCTTGTCTTGACTGTGGACGTGTGGCAAAGAATTCCTTCCTGTTTCTGCAGAATTGAGATATAATTTGCAATGCATGTTTGGTGAGATAACTGCCTTTTGGCTTGCATCAACATTGATTTGAAATAAGATCAGCTCCTGGGAGACGCGTCAAATAAAATATGAGAGCACCAGTCAGGGGACTTCCAAGGGGAGGGTAGTGAGAGTTATGGGGGCAATTAATTACCTGTGCAAACCGAAAATCATGAGCGGAAATGGTCGTTTGTTAAGTTGATAAGACAATTTTTATGCAGACTTGTCTAATGAGTGCAAAGTTGGTCTCAGCCAGCAATGGCAATTCCTATAATTGATTAATGTCGCATATTCCTCTATGGGGCGGGGCTTAACTTCCTTTTTGAAGAACATTGTCAAAGAGCAATGTCCAAGGCCAACGCAAATGTGTGTTCCTAGTCTAGGTGCAATTCTAAGAACTTGAAATGGAACTTTACTTAAACACTATGGCAACATCTCCGGGAGCCCAGTTTTCACTGGAGCTTTAAAAAAATTCTTCATGGAATTATATTTTAAAGTGTATCTATCTCTAGTTATTTTTAAAAATTATTTTTACATTGAATGTGGAAGAATTAGAACCCCTCTCAGGGTTTATTGCTATTTGTGTCACCTTCTGTGAAAATGCACCTTCTCTGATTGGATTAGAACGACAGAAAGTGATACAAAATCTAAAACTGCAAGGTTGTAACTGGAATAGGAGTTGAGGGGAGTTCTTCAATGGGTACATCTGTTCTGGTGACAACTGTCTAAGACAGCAATGGCCAAACTGCGGCCCTCCAACTGTGGTGGAACTACGAATCCCATGAGGCTTTGCAAGATTCTCACAGACATGACTCCCGGAGAGGGATGCTTCATGGGATTTGTAGTTTCACCACAGCTGGTGGGCCGGAGTTTGGCCATCCCTGGTCTAAGAGATTTCTCCTCTCACTTCCCATGTTATCCTATAGATTAGGATGTGAAGGAAGATGTTCCTGACATGGCACTGGCAGCAGAAAAAACACTTGACAGAGGTTCTAAACATTCTCCATTTTATCCAAAACTGACAGAAATACACAATAATTCAAGATAAGTCATACTTCAAATCCTTTTTAAAATAATTTAATAGGGTATAAGCTACATTGATTGGCCTGGATGTAGTTTGCATGGACAAAGGGATAATTGCCACGTTTGTGCAATATAGAAAAGGGGACGTAGGATTTTTTATTCTTGTAATCATAACTGAAGCTTGAAAAAGTGAGATGAATGTTCAACCTATATTTGATACGTTTAGAATATAGTCAGGCTTAAGGTTTTAGAACAATCTATTCAAAACATAAAATGTGGGAATCAAATTACTGTAAGAGTGATTTGATAATATTTTGTTTTTCTATTGCAGGACATCTAGCTCTTCCATTTTCAATAAACCGTAAAAATGGATAATATGGAACCCATCCCAGAGGCTCCAGCTGCAGCGCACAAAATCTCATTGATCACTCCTATTCGTGCCGCCATCCGAATACGCAGAAAAATCAGAATGTTTAAAACCAACCATCTTCATTTGGATCTGTCTGGCAGGAGACCTCTGGACAACACCAAATCCTGCCTACTTCGTCGGCAGCTGTCTACTGAGCAGTCCGTTTATAGGGCCTCCAGCTTTGACACCCCTAATTTTTTTACATTTGACACACCGACTTTGGAGCAGGTTGCCTTTAGTAATCTAAAGCGTAAGAAAAAACGTAGGCGGTCCAGGGCAGTGCTTTATCCTGGAAACTCCAAAAAATATTTACCAGTGGAACAGAAGAGCAAAGCGAAACGGTGCCTAATATTGTTAGTAGGGATCATTTGCTTCCAAATCTTGAATGCTATCGAGAACTTGGATGACAATGTGCTAAAATATGAACTAGATGGACTTGAGAAAACAATGCATCGGGAAGTTTTTGGGCAAAAGGTTGCCATTGATGGAATAATGGACCTCCTGAAGGACTACCTGGCAACTCATTGTCATAATAAGCCATTGGTGATCTCCATGAACGGTCCTAGCGGCGTTGGTAAGAGCCACATGGGACGGATATTGGCCAAGCACTTTCGTGCAGTCATGGACAATGATTTTGTTATGCAATATTATGTCATGCACAACTGCCCAAAAGATAGTGACATTGAGGCTTGCAGGAACAATTTGTTTGACTTGATTTCAGACATGGTTACCCGGGCAGAGATCGAGGAAAAAATTCCTGTCTTCATATTTGATGAATTGGAGCTTATGCCCCCACCACTTTTGGACACATTACAAGGTTACTTCTACTTAAACCAAAACAATGAGTATCTCAATGCCATTTACATATTAATCAGCAACATTGGAGGAAATGAGGTGACCAAGTTTATCCTGCAAAACTCATCCAGCGACGTTGTGAACTTGCGACAAGAACTGCAAAGCATCATCCAATCTTCTTTGAAACAGCACCACAGAATTTGGGATATTGCTGAAATTGTCCCTTTAACTTTGTTGGAGAAAAGCCATATTGCCCATTGCTTTTTGGATGAACTCCTACGGGAAGGGTTTTACCCGGACAATAACAACATTGAAAGCTTGACAGGACAGCTAAAATATTACACTACAGAGGACAAGCAATACTCCATCACTGGGTGCAAACAGGTGGTAGCTAAAGTGAATCTTCTACAACCGTACACATGATTGTTGGTATTAAACCATTATGACTGTTGTCTAGAATGTTTATCATTCAAATTAAAGGAAGTCTGTGAGTTTAATAACCCTTTGCCCTAGTGAGGCTGAGTTCCTAATGCAGCTCCACCAGAAACACATTTGTACATGGGTTTTGTACTTTATGTTCTCCCAATGTTTATGTGGATTTCATCCCAATGGTTTATGTGGATAAACAGTTTACATAATGTTAGCACCTCACTGGGCTCTAGGCCGTATTCCCCACTAATGTAGAGATGCAGATGTTAGTGTTGAAGGTACTATACACAGCAGCTTTTAATAGGTACGCGTTTACATTCTTCCCTTCTTCATCAGCTCTAAGAATACTGTAGGGTCGGGACACTGTGCCTACAAATAACAACTGTAACCCAATGCTATTAGTTTTTGCTGCAGGGCTTTGGTACCAAAAAGAAGAGCAATTCAGAAAGTTTCCCTAACTCTTCCTAACTGAAAAAGTAACTCTAATAGTAAGACATGCCTTCACACTCAACCCTTCCCGTTACTTTTTAACCCAAAAAATAATGGTGTGACACTTATCCTCTTCCCCTACTCTTCACACAAGACCTTTAACTTGTTCCCACCTCATGCTCATTCAGCCCCAAAGTCTGAAGACATCATGTTAGTGCAGGGCTTTAGGACCAGGGACGTGCGGTCAGGGACGGCAGGTGAGGCAGAGCCTCACCTAGTATTATGAAGAAAAAAGGTGTCACCTTCAAGTCTAAAGCTGACAGCTTTTTCTCCATTCAGAGCGGCTTGTTACAGGTTGCACAGCAGGGGAAGCCTTCCCACTGTGTAACCTGTCATGGATGGAGAGCTGCCTGTTAATTACAGGCGGTGCTGCATCCTGCTTTTGACAGCTAGTTAGGTTACACAGCAGCGGGCTTCCCCACTGCTTGTGTAACCTAACTTGGTGAGGCAAAAGTTGTCACAGCCTCTGCTCTGTGTTAGAGGCTTGGGCTCTGTGGATAGTTTGGACCAATGGCAAAGCGCCATTGGTCCAAGCTGTCCAATCAAAAAAAAAACGAAGAAAAAAATCACTGCCTCACCAGGGGGGAGTAAGTGAGGGACAGAGAGGCTCCTCCCTTTCTCCTCCCCACATAGCTTGGAGATTTGGCGGAACAGGGTGGAGCTTCAGCAAGGCAGGGTGGAGCTACTGTTTAGGGCCCACCACCACAGCACCTGCACACAGTGCAATGATGTAGAGCAATGATGTAGAGCTAGACCCTGTTGTCGTGAGCAATGAGGATCACTCAGCACCAGAGAAGTGGTGATGAGGAAGAGGGCCCTATCCATCACACAACCATCCAGTTGACATCTGGAAAAGGTAAGTATAAAAACCCCCCCCACAAAATACAGTCAGGGGGCTTCCAACGGTGGGGCAGTGATTGTGGGGCAAGAGGGAACCCTGAATTAGGATAACCCCAATCAACCATAGCAGTTAAACTCCGCACACCAACCTCTAAACTAATCTTTAATGCTGAACAAACTCCTATTTACATATATTATCCCACATCAGAAGACACTGTGCTATTTTATCATGGTCCTGTGCTGAAAGCTACCAGTGCCAGGGATGCAGCAATGAACACCAATGTTGCAGCCTACAAAGGCCTAAGGAGAAATCCAGTCTTGATCACCATTAACTAATGTGAATGTAGGAAATTGAAGTGTATAAGCTCATCAGGGGCAGGAATTAATGTGAATGTAGGATATGTACTTTGAAAAACTGCAGAGTCTGTTAGCACTGTTTACATAGAGTAATACATTATTCTCAAAATTCTAACAGGGTTATTCACAAAAGTGTGAAGAGTTTGGAGAATGCAGGAGAAGTGAACAATCTAGGACAACATAGCTGATTTGGAAAGTGAGCTGAATTAGGGAATTTTTCCATGTTGCCTGTCTACACTGCACTCTAGAAGGCCTAAAACAGTAAAGGACTTATTAAACTGACAAGACTCGCTTTAAAATCTCTGCTGTCTGCAAGTCTCATAAATTGGTACGGCTCCTGGGATCAATATCCCCAATTACACAGAAATAGGAATATATCAGCGAGAAGTTCAACTTTTTACTAACTGGTCACTAAAACATTCTAAGGACATTAACTAGAGCTTTTTTTGTTTTTTTTTGGAAAGGGGTGTTTAAAAATGAAACTGTTTGGGTTCTCTTAGAAGCTATATCAGGTCTAATAAATTTATTAGAATTAAACAATTTGCTTTAAATGCCTTTTTTTTTTTTTTTTTCAAAATGATCGCATAAATGTTGTTACTTTATCCTCTTTTCTCTAATTTCAAAACATTCTAACATCCTACAGATGACTAAACTACTGCACATGGAAAGAGTGTCACTAAGGCAATACCTGTCTCTATGGCACAGCCAAGACACAATGATGTCACCAGATCCACTTTAGAATAACACGGCGACAGATAAAACGGCTGATTCAAATATGGGAAAAGGAAACAAGGATTTTGAACTCCAGTTTTCTTGTCTTAAATTTTCAATGGTTGGAAAGCTCAACTTCATCCAAAAAACATTGTTATAGTTTAAAGGCCGGTTCATACCAGAGAGAGTGCGCTTTGTAAGGGAGCAATGCAATACATTGTTACTATGCATCGTACTGATTACTTTTTTGTTTTACGTTACTGAAATGTCACAAAATGTATATTTCAGTCAGCACTGAAGCAATAGGACATACGGCAAATGAGTTATCTGTGCGTTGGTACTGCATTGGACAACACTGCCCAATGTAGCTCAATGGTGCTGGTGTGAACGGGCCTTTAGATAGAGTGAGAAAGGGTCCGAAGCTCTGCCAGTTTTATACTCTTTGTGTCTGTGTTGAAATGTCCCCTATTTTCCATTGTAATGGAACAGCCAGAGGGTGTGATGGAACGTTCCAGGGTGGGATGCCTTTTTTAAAATGGAATTTTTTTCTGCGCTGGTGTGCACCCCCTAGCATGTGCACCAACACGGTACCAGTGGTCTGGATTGCAATTGGACAATGGAGATCAAAAAAAAAAAAGGTACAGAGCCAATGGAAGTGGCCCTGTACTGCGCGATTGTGCTGTGACCAATCACAGCATCAGAAAATATGGCAATGGCTCTTTCTTTCCTCCCACACATGTGTTAGAGGAAATGGAGAACTCCCTGATCGCCAGTCAGTACTAATGGCATCTAGTACCAGTGTCGTGTATTAACACTGCCAGCCTGTACCAGAATCGGTGTCATCCAGTGCCATCCAGTACCCGTGTTATACAGTTATAGCACCAGACGGAACTAGTGCCATTCAGTACCAGTGGCAGCTAGATCCAGTGTCATCCAGAGCCAGTTAGTACCAAAACCAGTGCCATCCAGTACGAGTGCCAGTCAGCAGGGCCAGATTAAAACATCATGAGCCTGGTGCTGAGGATTTTTTTTGGCCTCTTTATGGAAATACATAAAATGAAAACACCCTAGAGATGCAAATTAAAAAGCACATTCAATACTAACACTGCATTAGGATGTGTACTCTTGTTAATTATGCACTAATAATGTTAGTGTACACTTATCATTAGTGCACAAGTGCACACGCACACATATTCATTCATACACACACATTTTTATAAATCTATACACACTCACGCACACTGATTCTTAACACATATATATAATTTTTTCTCTTAGGAAGAGAGAAAGATGTCGCACAGGGAGTGAGGTAGAGAGAAGATGTCTTAGGCCCGTTTCACACCTGGGCGTTTTGTAGCGCGTTCGAACGCTCAGAAAAAAACGCTCAAACAACGAAATCCCATTGTTTCCTATGGGTATGGTTCACACCTAGGCGTATTTCAGCCCGTCTGAATGCGCTTCAAAACGGCCTACGCCCAAAGAAGTACAGGAGCTTCTTTGGGGCGTATTTGCCGCGCGTATCCATTGTGATACAGACCGGTAGTCCTTGGAAACGCGAATCGCGGTAAAAATGTGCGACAAATGCGCATATTCGATACGCCTAAGTGTGAACCCAGCCTTACGGGGGGTGAGTGAGAGAGAGATAAGATGGCTCGAGGGAAAGAAGATGTCTCACGGGGAGCGAGAGATGTTGTCTCATGGGGAGCGAGGGAGAGAGCGAGAGATATCTCACGGGGATCGAGGTAGAGAGAAGATGGCGCATTGAGGAGGGAGGGAGAGAGAGAGGATGTCTCATGGGGAGTGAGAGAGAAGATGGTTCACAGGGAGGTAGGGAGAGCTAGAAGATGTCTTAAGGGCAGGGAGAGAGAAGATGCCGCATGGGGAGAGAGATATCACATGGGGAGGGAGAGAGAAGATGGCGCAAGGGGAGTGAGAGAGAAGATGGCGCACAAGGGAGGGAGGGAGAGAGAAGATGGGGCATTGGGGAGGAAGGAAGAGAAAATGGCGCATGAGGATGATAAAAGAGAAGATGGTGCATGGGGAGAATGAGAAAAGAGAAAAAGGCGTATGGAGAGGAAGAGAAAAGATGGTGCATGGGTAGGGATAGGAAGAAAAGATGGTGAGGGGAGAGAGTAAGGGGCTATATTGTTTAATAACTGTCCATATACTGCAATAAAATACAACATAACATTTTTAGTCCAGATGGCAATTGTGTGCAATATGATGTAACGATACAGAAGCAATGATCATAACTAATAACTGTATAAATTATTATAACTTATAATATTTGCTTGCAGATGGGTATAGCTATTATTGCATGTATAATATTTGCCATCTGGACTAATCATTTGCTGTGTAACTAAGACGAAGATAGCTTGCTTATAATACGGGGACTAGGATACCATTCTCACAACAACTGGGGGTTACTAACGGAAATATATGAACTAGAGAAAAAATAGTCCCAACAGCAAACAAAATAATTGTATTAAAACTTACGTTTTTTTGTTCATGAAAAAAAGGCTAATCACTAAAAATACATTTTATGCAATATAACATGTATAATATACAGTAATATTATAAGAATATATCCCTGTCTTTGCTTTATATCACTACACTCACAGAGCATCAATTTATTAGGAGGCAATATCAATTTACAGTTTGAGATGTAGTCAAATTTATATATACCCTCTTACATGCA